AGTTCCAGGAAAGGTGCAAAGCTACACAGAGAAACCCTGTCTCGAAAAACCAAAATAAATAAATAAATAAATAAATAAATAAATAAATAAATAAATAAACAAACAAATAAGCACAACAAAGAGTGACCTGCTTCCTTGCCAGTGTCTAATCACCTAACCAAGAACAGATCTTCACAGGAAAACAGGTGAGTATGCCCACCCCTCCCCAGGCGGCTCCCATGATCCCCCTCTCCATCATGACCGAATCCAAGTCAGCTTAAATTCCCTCTTCTCAGCCTGTCTCAGATCCCCAGGGAAAGAGCTCTGGGCTCTGTTAGGAAGCCTGGGATGCTAGACTCAGCACAAGAAGGGACCAGCTCCCCGAGCAGATATCTGGGAGCAGACAAGATGGCCCAGCAGGTAAAGGCGCTTGCCACTAAGCCTGAAAACTGATGACTTCAATCCTTGAGGCTCACATGATAGAAGGTGAGATCCGACTCTCACAACGTGTCCTCTGACCTCTGCATGTACACAATGACACATGTGCATGCACACACGCATACACACACACACTGCATGTGGAATAAATGGCCACCGTTTGGGATGTGAGGCCTCCAGCTCTTATAATAATCTTCTGCTCTAAATTACCATTGTTTTGTTCGTAGCAGCCGAAGCCTGTGTTGAACTGGAGATCTTCTTGCCAAAGCCTCCCGGGTACTGGGGTTACAGGCATGCACTACCATATCTGACTTGGCCAAAATTCTGCTGAGTGTCTACAGGCCTGTAGAACCAGCCGCCAAATGATGAGGTTACAAATGGAGGGTGAAAGCTGGCCATGGTAGGTGGTGAAAGCTTGTAAGCTCAGTACAGCGGAGGCTGTGGAAAATGATCACAGGTTCGAGACCAGCTTGAGCTACGGAGTGAGAGTGAAACTAGCTTAGGCTACAGAGCAAAATGTAGTCTTAGAAAAATAAAACAATTGTGAAACAAGTGTGCGGTGGCCCAGCTCCAGACTGGTCATAATAATCATCATGTTATTTCTATTGCCTAGTCTTTTACAATTAATTAATTAACTGATTATTTATTTACTTTGAGACAGAGTCTCGCTGTACAGCCTAGAATTTGCTGAGCAGACCAGGCTAACTTGGTTCACCAGGACTAGGACTAAAGGCATACATTACCGAGTCTAACTGTCTATTGTGTTGCCGTTGTTTTTAATTTTTATTTATTTATTTTGAGACAGGATCTCACCATGTAGCCCTGGCTGACCTAAAACTCACAGAGATCCACCTGTCACTGCCTCCTAAGTGCTGGGATTAAAGAAATGAGCCATCATGCCCAACTATTATTATTATTATCATTACTATTGTTGTTATTTTTTGTTTTTGTTTTTTTGAGACAGGGTTTCTCTTTGTGTGTAGTCCTGGCTATCCTGGAACTCACTCTGTAGATCAGGCTGGCCTTGAACTCACAGAGATCCCCCTGCCTCTGCCTCCCTAGTGCTGGGATTAAAGACGATGTGCCACCCCTGCCTGGCAGCCTATTATTTTTTTTTAGTGTGTATGAGTGGTTGCCTGTACGCATGCATACCTGGTGCCCATGGAGCAGAAGAGGATATCAGATGCCGGGGACCTGGAGTTACAGAAGGTTGTGAGCCTCTGTGGGTGTTGGGGCTTTAGGTTCTCTCCAGGAGGGACAGGTGCTCTTACACGCCTCCTAACTCCCAGCCTCTCTCTAGCCTCCCTTTCTGCTTTCCTCCTCCTCCTCCTTTTCCTCCTCCTCCTCCTTCTTGTAGGCAGTCTTGCTAGAATGCGTGATCCTCCTGCCGCAGCCTCCTAAGTGCTGGGTTTACAGGTGTGCACTTCTATTGACTTGGTGTTCTTTTCTATTTTACTTTTTTTTTTTTTTAATCTTTCCACTCTGCCCACTCTGTGGGTCTTGGAGATTGAACTCAGGTTGCCAATTTTGGCACAGAGCACCTTTACCCACTGAGCCATCCCCCCCCCCCCCGTTTTGTTTATTTTCAAGACAGAGTTTCTCTATGTAGCCCTGGCTATCCTGGAACTCACTCTGTAGACTGGGCTGGCCTGGAACTCCGAGATCTGTCTGTCTCTCTCCTGAGTGCTGGGATCAAAGTGCGCCACCACTGTCTGACTCCCTCTCTCTTTTTTAAAATCACATTTAATTAATTTATTTCATGCACATTGTGTGTGTGTGTGTGTGTGTGTGTGTGTGTGTGTGTGTGTGTGTAGGGGGATATGCACATACGAGATGTCAGAGGACATCTTGAAGGAGTTGGTCTTTCTGTCCACTGTGTGGGTCCTGGGATCAGAACGCAGATCATCAGGCTTGGTGACAGGCATCTTTACCCCCTGAATCATCTCACCTACCCTCTTTTTTAAAATTATTATTACATTTATTTAGTTTTTACTTATTCATTGTGTGTGTGCCTAGTGCTACAATGCTTGTTGTATTGTATGTCAGAAGTCAGCTTGCAGAAGTTCCTCCTCTCCTTCTGCTATGTGGGTCCCGGCGGGGATCAAAGTCAGGCCATCAGGCTGGGCAGCACGGTCCAGATGAGCCATCCTGCTGGCTCCCGCTGCCCTGGCCTTGCTCACCCTCTGGAAACAATATCACCTGGAGCGTGAGGGCTTGGGAACCCTGAACCAGGCTTTCTGTTTTGGAAATGCCTAACCAGAGCCCCTCGTGCTGCCTCCCCGGCTTTACCCTGAAGAGACGCTTTTGACTCATCATACCATTGCTTTCCTCAACGGCCATTGTTTAAGTTCTGGGGGCGGAATGTGAGTCGGGGCCATCTTAGAATTCTGAGTTCACAGACAGGGAGGGCATGGGAGACTCTGCCAGTAAGTGACAGAACTCAGCTTCCCGAGGAACCACAGTCCTCGAGGGGGCGGCCGGGACGCTCCTCTCCCAGGAATGGGGCACAGCTACTGGGAAGGCCGAGGGAGTGAGCTCTGGGCATTGGAATAACAGGGAGTCTAGTCACTGCTCCCGACCATCAGGGCTGCAAGCAGACTGGCTGTCAAAGCGATCCTGGAGTCTAGTCACCGCTCCCAGACCATCAGGGGCTGCAAGCAGACTGGCTGTCAAAGCGATCCGGGGAGATTTTTTTTTTTTTTTTTTTTTTTTTAGCAGAGGAGAGACACGGCTTGCATTTTGAAGAGCTGCCTGTGGCGCCTGGACAGTTCATGCAAGAATGCGTGCGGGGAGGCAGGAAAGGACTTTCTCAGACTGCAGATCGGGGACCCCTAGGGCCCGGCCTACTCGCACTATAGGGCGGAACCAAGGCCTGCCTTCCTGCAGGTCAGGAGGAGGGGTTCTCAGAGCCTAGAGTGGAGGTCTGGAAAATCTGTAGCCGGGATGAGGATTGACACCTAGGTGGTGGGTCCACTGATGGTTGCCAGGGTGACGGGAGAAGCGTTGATGGTTGACCAGAACGAGGTAGCGGTTGTCTGGGTGACTAGAGAGGCCCCAGACAAAGGCTGACCGGAGGCCTTGGACAGTTGCTGGGACGGTTGCCAGGGTAACTAGAAGGCTCTGCCTTCCATCAGTCCATCCCAGTCAGTCTCCCCACCCCCACCCGATCCCACCTCACCCCCACCCCGCGCAATTACAGAGAGGGAGTG